GCTTATATTATAATTGGAGGGGATTTCAACATTGTGCAGGATTATGCTGTTGATAAATGGCCACCAGGACGTCCTAAATCTACAAACACTAATCTTAAAAACTTCATGGATGCATTTAATCTGATAGATGTTTGGAGGTTTAAATGTCCTAATAATATAGTCTTTACATGGAGTAACAAATCAGGCTCAAATCAGTCCAGAATAGACTATTGGTTAGTTTCTGAAAGTCTTGACAAAGATGGGATCGATGTAGATATTTTACCTACTCCATTAACAGATCACAGAGCTATTTATATAAAAGTGAAGCTGTCTCATAAAATATATAATCTTAATTCTTCATATTGGAAACTTAATAATTCCCTTCTGCTGCATAAGGAGGTCCAAAAGAAAGTTAAAGATTTAATTTCTAGCCATTGGACAAAAGCCAAGATGGAAAATGCCTTCAGTACAAATTGGGAACTTTTAAAATTTGAAATTGGCAAATATATGAGAAAATATGGTTCATTTGTGGCCAAAAGTAAAAGATCTGAAGAAACTAAAATAATAACGAGAATAACAAATTTGTCTCAGAAACATCCAGATTCTCTTCTAGAGGACGAAAAATTAGAAATGGCTGACCTAACAAGTAAATTAGATGATATGTATAAGAAAAAAGTAGAGGGTGCCTTTATTCGTTCTAAAAGAAAGTGGCTTGAGGAAGGGGAACAAAACTCACATTATTTTTTCAGTTTAGAAAAGCGGAATTTTGTTACTAACACTATTAATAAGTTAAACATTAATGGGGTTACAACGGATGATCATACAGTAATTTCTCAGTACTGTAGTGAATTTTATAAGAATTTATATACCTCTAGTTACTCTCAGGTGACCGCTGATGCCTTCTTAAATTCGTTGCAAATTAAACCCATTGAGAAACATGAAAGGGAATCTTGTGATAAACCTATTACAATATCTGAATTGTTGGAAGCAATTAGTCATCTGAAAAATTCCAAATCACCAGGTACTGATGGTTTGACATCTGAATTATATAAACTATTCTCCAAAGAATTGGCTCCTTTTCTTGTAGAAGTATTTGCTGAAAGCATTGAGAGACAGTTTCTTCCACCAACTCTAACACAAGGTTTAATTACATTGCTCCCTAAACCAAAAAAAGACAAACTATATATTGATAATTGGCGCCCGATTTGTTTATTAAACAATGATTATAAATTACTGGCCCTAATTTTAGCTAGAAGATTAAAAAAAGTTTTGGATTCCGTAATTGATGAATCACAATCGGGATTCATGAAAAATCGACATATAACGAATAATGTAAGATTAGTGTTGGATATCCTGGACTATCCAGAATTGATTAAGGATAATGGGTTTATATTATTCTTAGACTTTTATAAAGCATTCGACTCGGTAGAGCATCAGTTCATCTTTGACACGCTTAAGAAATTTGATTTTGGTATTTTTTTTCTACAGCAATTAAAACCCTTTATAACAGAGGAAACTGTTCTATCAAATTACTAAATGGTACTTCCCCCAGATTCGATATTACTAGAGGAATTAGGCAAGGGTGCCCTGTCTCTCCATACCTCTTTCTATTAGTGAGTCAACTTCTTTCTTCTCATATTAAATCAAGTCCAATGAAAGGTATCACTGTATTTGATAGAGAGATCAAAATTACCCAATTGGCAGATGACACTACGCTCTTCATTCAAAACGAAGACCAGATCGTAGTGGCTACTGAATTAATATGTGACTTTTCAAGGGCATCTGGTGTCTACTTGAACGTGGCTAAATGTGAGCTTATGGCCATTAAGGAATGTTCAGAAGCATCTTATAATGGTATTCCCTTAAAATCTGAGGTTCAGTATCTAGGAATAAGCATTACTAAAGATCAACAAAGAAGGTGTTTATTAAACTTTAATCCTATTATTGAAATGACTAAAAGGAAATTAAACCACTGGCTTATGAGAGATCTCTCTTTAAGGGGCAGAGTTTTAATTACAAAGGCAGAGGGAATTTCTAGACTGACTTATGCAGCAATGGCTTTGCATCTTAATAAAAAAATATGCAAAGAAATAGATAAAATACTATTTGACTTTATCTGGAAAAACAAAATACATTACATAAAGAAAACAGTTATAACTAATCTATATGAAAATGGTGGCCTAAATGTTTTGGATTTTGAAATGTTAAATAATACATTTAAAGTTAATTGGCTTCGACAGATTGTAAGAAACCCTTATTCAATTTGGAACTTTATACCCTCCCATATTTTTTCTAATCTTGGTAATATACATTTCTTTCTTAGCTGTAATTACAATATTGATAAAGTACCAGTAAAGCTTTCAGAATTTCATCGCCAGGCCTTTTTATCATGGTCATTGATTTTCAAACACAATTTTTCACCACATAAGTATTATATATGGAACAACAGAGATATATTATATAAGCGCAAATCATTATTTTTGAAACATTGGTTTGATAATGGCATCATATTAGTAGATCAGTTATTTAATTCAAAGGGTTTTCTTTTTACTTACACAGAGTTTTTGGCCCAATATAAGATTCCTGTAACACCAGGGGAATATGTAAAAGTGTTTGGAGCAATCTCTCCTGAAATCTGTATGCTGTTTAAATTTCAAAAAAGAATTAATACTCAACAATTGTCCCCACCTTCTGTAGTAAGTACTTATGTAGGTAATATTTGTTTTTCCCTTAACGCAAGGAACAGAACTATAAGAGAATTATTTCAAAGAAATTATGTGTCTTTGCCTTATATTTACTCATACTGGAATCGTTTTACAGAAGGTATTGTGTGGAAAAAGGTTTGGCTTATACCTAATCAATATTTAATTACAAACAAAGTTAAGGAGGTATCATACAAATTGATACATAGAATATATCCTGTAAAGCAGTACTTTGTAAAATTTAAATCTGATATTGATGTTAATTGTACATTTTGTGACAGTTGCCCTGAAACTGCGGTTCACTTATTTTGGCATTGCCTATTTGTAAAACCATTTTGGCAAAGTGTCTGTGATTTTATCACAAAAAACATTGATGACCAATTTATGTTGTTTTGGAAACATATTTTATTTGGTATTTGGGAGAACAGTAGAATTAAGCACAATCAGAATTATTTAATTAATTTCATTTTATTAATGGCAAAATTTTATATTCATAAATGCAAATTCTCCTGTAAAAAACCTAATTTTATTTTATTTAGAAAAGAAATTGAGCTTTATATTGATTCACTCCGGTTTTCTATGAAACAAAAAGCAATTAAAACATTGAAAATATGCAAATATTATAATATCTTTATATAAGTTTACAATACCCCCCAGTATGAAAGACTTTGTAATATCTATGTTATATGTTAATCTTGATGTATACATAAATGTCTGTATTAAGATTGTTCTTAATAAAAAAAAAAATAAATAAAAAAAAAAAAAAAAAAACTCAAAACGGTTATCACTTTTAACACAGACTGTCTAATGTTCAACACATTGCATTGTGCATTCACATCTTTAAAGAAATCTTGCACTTGCACAATCATTGGTTAAAAAAAAAAAAAAAAATTACTGTGAAATACCACCCACACATAAGCAACCGATAGTTTCACTGTGTCAATTTGTACAATTAGTATTGTAGAACAAAATAGGTGATACAGGTTTCATTATGGTACTACATGTACAATAAATACATCTCTGTAAAAGTACTGCAGTAGTAGAGAGAATACACACATAGTGGAATCATTGAACAAAGTTTGATGCAAAACACTACAGTACAATCACAACAGTTTATTGGAATCAAAGCAAAACTATATAATATTAGGCTGCATCCATGGATATTGTAGTCTAGTTCATTCAGTTCATGCTCCACGCTAATTGGTGACAATGAATTTTGTTATCTTGAAACTTTCATGATTTACTGTAAACATGGAAGATTGTGTGTCTGTTTCCATACAACTTTACATTAAGAGTAATGCAACAGTTACTTATCATTTTGGGCCGTTGTATCAATTGATGGTTAGATCATTGTAAGGAAATGAACAGACATTTGAAATGTAATGTGTTAATTACCTTTTGAAATAGTAGTACTTTAGTGTTAAGTTGTGTTATTGAACAGGTGATTTTTGTTGAATGAACAAATGATCCAAGTTTTATCCAAGAAATTGAGAAAAGGGTTCAAGATGGTGGCCGGATTTCTCAGTGCCCAGCAGCCAATTGGGAATCTAGTCTCTATATGATATATCTATGATTTCAGCGGTGTATAGTGTAAATGCAAAAATCTGATACTCACTGGTTAATGAAAATTACTTGACTAACTTGTTTTTCCTTTAGATTATTGTGTAATAATAAGATACATATCACTGTTTTCTCTGATGTTTCTCCTAAAATTCCATAGGACGAATTAAAATAGAAACAAAGAAGGCACGTATAGAGCTATACAATTAATGTGGATTGCATCACTGAAAACTTGGTCTAATTTAATCCAATTTGATAAGAAATGGTTTAGTTCGTATTAAGACTGACTGTCCTTTGCAGATCCAGGAATCTTGGCAGTTTGAGATAATGACATTCTCTTTTCTGAATCTAGGAGCTCACTAGGGTCTTTTTATGGGAGAAAATCAGAGAATCAGACAGCAAAGTAAAAGTTTCCTGTACATTGCTGTCCATAGGAGAAACAACTGCCCAGCAAACAAATTTAGGTTCTGGGAACGTAAGTTTTTGGTTCCCAGAACGTTCCTAGAACTTTCCCTTAATGTTCCTGGAACATTCTCCTTACGTTATAAAAATGGAACCTAAAAATAACCTACATGGAATGTTTCTATAACATTCTTGTTTGGTTCCCAAAAAAATAACCTCATGGGACCATTCGGGAACGTTAGGGGAACGTTCTGTGTTTGCTGGGTGAGAACTCATTTTGATTTTTATTTGTGTAGCCAGGAAAGCTACTTACACTACTCTCTGTCTCTCTCTCTCTCTCTCTCTCTCTCTCTCTAGCCTAACGACCCTGTAACAAACATCTGCCAAGCAGCTGACAAGCAACTCTTTACTTTAGTGGAGTGGGCCAAGCGGATACCTCACTTTTCTGATCTCCCGTTGGACGATCAAGTGATCCTCCTTCGAGCAGGTGCGTCAGTAAAGAAACACAGACTGCTTTTTTGTTTTGGAGTCATGCAGATTATCAACCTAAAATGACCCATTTGCTGTACATCTATTCTTCCAGATATGAAGTTACCGCTGAAAAAAATACATCAGAAATGAGTATGTTTGCGTTTTTTTGACATTTGCAGTCTATTCCAGACGCATTTCTATAGATTTGCAAATACATTTGATCCAGACTTGGGTCATAGCATCGATTAAAGAAGGAATTTCATCTCGTTATCTCGGAGTCAGAGTCTTTACTCCGTAAAGAATGATGGCTTTTACACAGAGCGAGGGAGAATAAGAGGCTGGATTGTTCTCACCATTCACATGTTGCATTTATTTTATTAGGCTGTAGATTGCCTGAGGACAACCAAACTCTCAGTGTATTTCTGTTCAGTATGATTTATTTAGAGCCTCAGAAATGGGATTGTATATGAAACTGTGACAATGTATTAAACATGTATAGAGATGTCCTCATTGAAACGAAACACAATTTTGGTTAACAACTTAAGTTGATATTGAGCTATATGAGTAAACAAATAGAGCAGACAAATCAACCACACACACACACACAGATACAAAGTAGATGTTCTGCTCCCTTTCTGGCTACCTTTGTTTGTTTTTTGCTTATCAATGTGCTTTTGTGCTCCTGTCCTCTGTTGCTAGGGTGGAATGAACTCCTGATTGCCTCTTTTTCACATCGTTCCATAGCTGTAAAGGATGGGATATTATTAGCTACAGGCCTTCACGTCCATAGAAACAGTGCACATACTGCCGGTGTGGGAGCCATCTTTGACAGGTTAGTCCAAGCTTTCAGAGACAAAAAAAAAAAAGCCTGAGCTTGTATGATTTTCTATCTTCAGTGGAACACAAAAGGTGAATTTCTGATGAATATTTTAGATGTTCTTTTAAATGTAATGAAAGTGAATGAGGATTGGTGTTGTCAAGCTTACAAAATACAAAAATTGCACCTTAAAAACTCTAAACAATAAAAGTATATACGGCTATACAGTCCAATAAAAGTATTCAGTTCATCTTTGTGGCAGGAGGGACAGAACGTCTTGTTCTCTCTGTCAGGGAACGATTCTCAATTAAAGAATTGAAACAAGCAAATCTCACCAAAAAACAAACAAAAAAAAAACACTGATTGCCATGAAGCACAGTGAATTAAAAGTCAGTTCAGTACTTTTGCAAATGTGAATGCAAAGCTTCTCTGTGTAACGCAATACGCAATGAAATAAAAATTTTCCTCCCATCTCATATTTTCCATCCCCTCAGGGGCTCCTATATGCATATTTTCAGTGTCGGTACCACAAGTGGGCCCCAGGTGCCGTGGACCCGACACTTGAGTCACTTCAATTCCACTTCATCTGTTTCTTTGAATTAAAGTGTGTATGTTATTCTCTTCATAGCTGGCTGGTTTCGTTCATTCATTTGAATTTGAATAGTTCATCGATTTTTTTTTAAAAAATAATAAATGGGAAATATACTTTCAGAACCAAGGCTACTAAAAAAGTGGATGGACACTCTTGCACTGTACCAAATCTCAGGCTTTTGAAGACGTGGAACATAGTTGTATTACATTTTTGATACTTTAATACTTGTGGGTATTTTTTTTTATTTTGAAGCATTGTTGGTCCAGTCCCCATTCACTTAAATGATATGGAAAAGGGCAGCTACAACATTCAACTAAATATTTTGTGTTCCACAAAAAAGTGAGTAAATAGGGTGCAAATATACTCGGCGCAAAAAACTCTAGTTATGATGAACGAATTTTTATTTTGGGTGAACTATCGTTTTAAATTCAGTGTCAGTGTTCAGTTTATAGAGAGTAGGGTCTTGCTATCTACTAAGAAACCTTTCATGTGTCCTGATAGTACACCCTGTGGAAGATTTGTGACAGCCGTAGGTCATGCACACATGAATTTTTGAAAATAACCCCTATAATGATATTAGATGCTGCATCAGGAAAGTGTCCTGCACATCTTACTCTTGATTGATGCCATTTTTACATTAAGCCGTATGGCATTTTTATGTAGCGCTGTGATAATGTTTCACTGGCTGCATGAGATATGCTGGTGTCCTCACTAATGAAATATATGCTGCCCGGTCTGTCTGCAGTTGAGATGAATGTGACTTATAAGACATAATGACTTTGATTTTCAAGGCAATATGAAAACTAAATATAAAGCTGAGTGATGACTCACTGAGCCTGTTTAATATGTTACAGAACATTTACCGGCATTTTTAAGGGTATGTTGGAGAAAAATTAACTCGCTATAATTTAGATTGGCTGAGTTGCCTGTGAGCGTAAAGATTTTTTCACTTATTTTTTTTTTAGAGTGCTGACAGAGCTTGTGTCAAAGATGAGAGACATGCAAATGGACAAGTCTGAACTTGGATGCCTGCGGGCCATTGTTCTGTTCAATCCAGGTACAGTACCGCATACTTTAACTTAAATGGCATTTTAAACGAACTTGCGTAAGAGTGCTGTTTGTTTGTCTGATTAAGCTATCTTGCTATTTGTTTTGGTCCATTTAAAAAAAAAAGAAATAGTTGAAATAAAGCCATAAAGCCAGGGTAAATGGGATTCCTGTGACTGTAAACCTCAATGACAGGCTTATACTGCAGCTAGCAGTACATACTGCAACATTGTTCTCACGTGTCCTCTGTGTTCATCTTCAAGCAATAAAACTGGTGATTTTGGTGTGTAAAAATGTCTTAAATATTGACAGTCCAGTCAAATAATGAGTCAAGAAAGAGATCACTTTTGACCATTTGTTATGGTGGCACCTGCAGTTGTATGGATGTACACACTTTTTGTACCGTGAGCACTCCAACTGACCTAAGAAACGTCTGCAGTTTTGTGTCTGTGAACATTTGTGCAGTTATTACGGATGTCTCCTATTTCTGTCGACTAAACAATCAATGATGATCATTTTGTGAATTAATCGTTCTTTTGAATCGGTTCTTTGTCAGCATTGGATGAAATGGATATTCCCCTAAACAACAACTAAAAAAAAAACTATTTTTTTAAAAAAAAAATCAGCTACTGTCATGTGAATAAGCAGACATTTACACCGAAACGTGTCTCTACAGAAGCTTGTTTCTGCCATGGAATAAAAAAAACTTTTTATCTCAAAATTCATCTTTTTTTTCCTCGAAATTCTGACTTTTTTCCTTCAGAGTTATAATGTCAAAATGATAAGCATAATGCAGGGGATAATCGGGAACTAAATAAGATACAGCTGATTAGAATTAATCACAGGAACAAACTGGGACATAACCGAAATTAAACAGAGCAGGAAAACATGAACTAACAGCCCATTCTCACCCCCAAGGCGTCACCTAACTGACACCTTGGGAAGCATTTTGACCATGCTTCAATATCTGACGCTTTAGGTGCCCTTTAGCATCAGTCAGATGACGCCCTAGGATCGCGTGTAACCCTACCCCTACCCCAGACCTAAACCTACCCGCGTCCTCTAACTGACGATTTTCCTTTAGCGTCAGTTAGATGACGCCGTATGATCGCATCATGTAACTGACGCTAAAGGGCGCCTAAAGCGTCAAATATTGAAGCATGGTCAAAAGGTGACGCCATGGGGTGAGAATGAGAATAACTCACAAGTGTGACTTTATATCACTCAATTCTAACTCTATAACTCACAATTGTGACTTTATATATCACTCAATTCTAACTTTATAACTCAAAATTGCAACTTTATATCACTCAATTCTAACTTTATAACTCACAATTGTGACTTTATATATTACTCAATTCTAACTTTATAACTCACAATTGCGATTTTATGTCTCAATTGTAACTTTATAACTCACAGTTGCAACTTTATATCACTCAATTCTAACTTTATAACTCACAATTGTGACTTTATATTACTCAATTCTAACTATATTACTCATTATTGCAACTTTATATTACTCAATTCTAACTTTATAACTCACAATTGTGACTTTATATCACTCAATTCTAACTTTATTACTCATAATTGCAACTTTATATCACTCAATTCTAACTTTATAACTCACAAGTGTGATTTTATATCACTCAATTCTAACTTTAACTCACAATTGCGACTTTATATCACTCAATTCTAACTTTATTACTCATAATTGCAAATTTATATTACTAAATTCTAACTTTAACTCACACTTGTGACTTTATACATTACTCAATTCTAACTTAATAACTTACAATTGCAACTTTATATCACTCAATTCTAACTTTATAACTCAGAAGTGTGACTTTATATCACTCAATTCTAACTTTATAACTCAAAAGTGTGACTTTTTATCACTCAATTCTAACTTTATAACTCACAAGTGTGACTTTAAATCACTCAATTCTAACTTTATAACTCACAATTGCAATTTTATATCTCAATTCTAACTTTATAACTCACAGTTGCAACTTTATATCACTAAATTCTAACTTTATTACTCATAATTGCAACTTTATATTACTCAATCCTAACTTTATTACTCATAATTGCAACTTTATATTACTCAATTCTAACTTTATTACTCATAATTGCAACTTTATATTACTCAATCCTAACTGTATTACTCATAATTGCAACTTTATATCACTCAATTCTAACTTTATTACTCATAATTGCAACGTTATATCACTCAATTCTAACTTTATAACTCACAAGTGCGACTTTATATCACTCAATTCTAACTTTATTACACATAATTGCAACTTTATATTACTCAATTCTAACTTTATAACTCACAATTGTGACTATATATTACTCAATTCTAACTTTATAACTCACAATTGTGACTTTATATCACTCAATTCTAACTTTATTACTCATAATTGCAACTTTATATTACTCAATTCTAACTTTATAACTCAATTGTGACTTCATATATTACTCAATTCTAACTTTATAACTCATAATTGCAACTTTATATCACTCAATTCTAACTGTATAACTCACAATTGACTTTATATCAATCAATTCTAACTTTAACTCACAATTGCAACTTTATATCACTCAATTCTAACTTTAACTCACAATTGCAACTTTATATCACTCAATTCTAACTTTATTACTCATAATTGCAACTATCACTCAATTCTAAATTTATAACTCACAATTGTGACTATATATTACTCAATTCTAACTTTATAACTCACAAGTGTGACTTTACATCACTCAATTCTAACTTTATTACTCATAATTGCAACTTTATATTACTCAATTATAACTTTATAACTCACAATTGTGAGTTTATATCACTCAATTTGGACTTTATTACTCACAAGCCCACTGTGGAAAATGAAACCACGTCCTTGCTGAGCCTGATCGGCACAGAATGGAACGGTTAAGCAACGAGAATGGTTTGGCCCAACAGTGGAAAAGCACCTATACTCAAGAAATTTAAAACTTCTCTCGGAGTTGAATTTTTAACATCAGCATATATTGAACTTGGTGTTTACAAAAATAAATAGATAAATAAATAAACGTCCTCTGGAATCCTGCAGGCGCCCCTGACACAAGGTCAATTCAAGCACATTGCATTGTGGAATATGGTATCCGACGCTGAGGGCTTTGCCAAAAATAGTATGCTCAGCATCCTTTCTATATGTACAGTATGGGAAGAACGTTCTTAGAAGGCAATGCACTTTGTTTTAAATGTAAGTAAATGTTGAGTAAATGATGACAGAATTTCCATTTTTAAGTGAACTATTCCTTTAACATTACTGCATTTGGTTTGATTTGTAACAGGCAAGGTTTATCCTTGCATGCCATTTCTTATGAAAGCTGTGTGTAAATATAACTTTAGGTAGTTCACGCTAAATTGTGGATTTTGTCTTTTTATCAACTCTTAGATTCAAAAGGACTGTCTAATCCATCAGAGGTGGAGGCATTAAGGGAAAGAGTGTATGCTTCTCTAGAGGCCTACTGTAAACACAAATACCCTGATCAGCCTGGGAGGTACACACACACACACACACACAAGCACGCAGGGGACTCTCCACAGACGTAATGGATTTTATACTGTACAAACTTATAAATATTCTACAAATATTCTACTTATTAACATTCTACACTAACCCTACCCCTAAACCTTTAATTTAATTTTCACAACCAATTTTACTTATAGTAAAATTCAATCTTATTTTATTTTAAAAATATATATATTTTACAGAAGATTTTGAGCGGTATAAGAGTTTGTCATGTTTTAAAACTGTTATGCTAATTAAGGCTGCATTTATTTATACCACAAAAACATTAATATTGCAAAATATTATTACAATTTAAAATAACGTTTTACCATTATTTGCCATGAATGGAATATATTTGAAGATTCGTGGTTACATCTGAAATTGGTTCTTTGTCATGTTTTTTTTTTAATGCATTATTCTTATAATGCATTATAATTACATTATACTCTAAAGACATAACGGTAGTTAATATTATTCATGAGATCATAAAAATGAATTATAAGTTGCATTACAAAGCATAATTATAAAATAATATAATTATAAAACATTATACAGAAAGGATTTAAGTGTTACCAATCATTCTATTAATCTGATTATGTGCTTTAGAAACATTTCGTATATCAGCATTGAAAACAGTTGTGGTGCTTATTTATTTATTTATTTATTTATTTTCTGGGGTAAGCATGATACTTTCAGGATTTTTGGATGAATAGAAAGTTTAAAAGAATAGCATTTATCTTTTGTCACATTTGATCAATTTAATTTGACCTTGGTGAATAAAAAATGTAAACGTTATTTGAAATTTGAACGATAGTGAAAACAATGATCTACCTTAACTTAACATTTTAAGAAAACGGCTTAAAGGTTCACCCAAAAATTAAAATTCTGTCATTAATTACTCACCCTCATGTCTTTCCAAACCCGTAAGACTTTCATTCATCTTCGGGAAACATAAATGTAGATCTTTTTGATGAAATCTGAGAGCTTACTTGTCGCTCCAAGTTTTATTTTTAAGTTGACCACAAGTTTAACACAACCATAGTTAAAAGTGCTTTACAATACAGTGCAAATATACGTAAATCAGAATTTAAAAGAGAAAAGGATCAGAAAAAAGTGACAGAAATGGAGATAAGAATCTAGTATCAAAATCAATTAATGTATACATAACAGCATCACTCGAATGCTAGAGAGTAAAAATAAGACTTTAAACTGGATTTAAAAGCATCCAGTGATCGAGAGGCCCTGATGCTCAAAAGTAGACATTTCCAGAGCTTTAGGGCGACTACAGAGAAAGCTCGATCACATTTTGTTTTACAACAAGAACGTGGGACCGATAAAAGTAACCAATCATAAGATCTTAGTGACCTAGATGGCCTAATAAGATCACAAATAAAATCGGGGGACGAATTGTGTGGTGCCTTGTATTCTAAAAGAAGGACTCTAAATTTCATTGGTAGCCAATGCAATGAGGCAAGTAGGGGAGATATGATCCCTTTTCTTAGTTCATGTTAACAATCTGCCTGCTGAATTTTGAACCATCTGTAACACCACTTTGACGTTTCAAAAAGTTAATCAAGTGATCGTAAAACTAATCCATATGAATTGAGCATAGTCCAAATTTTCTAAAGAGACTCAATCGCTTTATGAGATAAACAGATTTAATTTAAGCTTTTATTTGCATATAAACATTGATCAGTGAACATAAACAGAAGCTCAACTGAACCTGCTTGACACCTCATTGGTTCTTGCAGAAGCTCAAATGTGAAGGTTTTTTTTATTTATTTATATAGCGCCTTTCCGGAGCTCAAGGTCGCTTTACATGGTACATTTATAATACATTTAAACACTAACACACAACTTACAATCACAAAGGATTAATCACATTTAAACAAAGTACATATACAATAGATATGTTTTTAACTGTGTCTTGAATGCAGTCACTGATGAAATATTTCAAAGTGAAAGGGGCAGAGAATTCCATAATGTTGGCACATTTACACTAAATTACCTACTGTAGATAATCGAAAACGAGGCTGGACAATGAACCAAGTTCAGTTGATCCGAGAGAGCCGACTAATATGGGGGTGAAAGACCGTTTAGTGCCTTAAATGTTAAAAGCAATACCTTACCCGGTCTCATCCCAAGACGTCATATAACTGACGTTTTGGGACGTCTTTTGACCATACGTCAATATTCGCCTTTTTAGGGCCCCCTTAAACGTCGGTAGATGAGGTTATGGGATCCCAACTCTACCCCATACCTAAACCTAACCCTAAACCTAACCCGTCACCTAACTGACGTTAAAGGTAAAGCGTCAGTTGTATGACGGCCCGGGATCGCCATCTACCGACATTTAAGGGGGCCCTAAAAAGGCGGATATTGACGTATGGTCAAAATACGTCCCAAAACGTCAGTTATATGACTTTTTGGGATGAGACTGTGTTAGGATATGAGATACCACGAAGGTCATGAAGCAACGAAGTAATGTGAGCAGAACGTCTGGTGGAGGTGTGCTGCATGCGTAACACGAGAATGAGCGTCAAGCGAACATGCTTGAGCTTCTGTTTACCACAAAAGATGTGTGCGTTGATGGATGTTTATATGTGAATAAAAGTAAATTAAATCAATTCATCATATACAGTGATCGTGTCTCTTTAGAAAATTTGGACTAAACCACCCAATTCATGTGGATACGTTTTACGACCTCACTTTTTGAAGCATCAAAGTGGTAGTTGACTAGCTGTCAATGGAGGGACAGAAAGCTCTCAGATTTCATCACAAAGATCTTCATTTGTAATTAGAAGTTGAAAGAAAGTCTTGCAGGTTTGGAACGACATGAGGTTGAGTAATTAATGACCGAATTTGTATTTTTCTGTGAAATAACCCTATAAGTATTACACTGTGCTAATCCAAACATTGACATCCATTGTTTCATGAACAGATTTGCCAAGCTGTTACTGCGCCTGCCTGCCCTGCGCTCCATCGGCCTGAAGTGTCTTGAACATCTCTTCTTTTTCAAGTTAATCGGGGACACGCCCATCGACACTTTTCTAATGGAAATGCTCGAGGCGCCACACCAAATGACATGAGGGATTGATTTCTTTTCATCTCCACCCATCTGACAGAGGGTGCTGCTTATGTACTGTATAGAACACTACAGGAGGCCGGACAGGACACATCTCTGATCTCACAGGAGAAGTAATTCTACCTTGGCGTTTCTTCAGAAAACATTGCGCAATCCACAAAATACTGAGTAACTTTTCATTGCGGAATACCATACAGGATGGATTAAGTGAGGTTTTTTTTTTTTTCCTGGTTTGCATGCACTTTGACAAGTCTCACAGATCTGGAGGGTTTTTATTTTTTTATTTTAGTTTTTTATGGTTTCTCATTTCTTCTGCCTTACAGAGGTCTACCTCTGCTTTCCATTGAGTACACAGCCAAATCGCCTCATCTCTGAGCTCACAATCATTTTGCTGTGAATTTTCAGATTTCATGAGAGGATAAAAAAAAATACCTCAAATGCACTTCTTCATGCAGCTGTCCATAAGGAACACACCACTGTATCTGCCATTAGAAGCTCTTGCTCAAACTGTAGCACAGAGTTCAGTGTTAACAGTGTTAAAAGGACCACATTTGTTTGTTTCAATTTCAGGCACTTATAAATCGCTTCTTTCAAGTTGTATTGTCATACGTCAGGATGCTGAAAGGCCATCTTTATGAGGAAGAAACTGCACGCAATTTGGCTTTAAGTCCTTTTCTTTTGGGGAGATATATGGGCCTATGAATAACATAATGGTCTAAAAAAGAATGAAAAGCAGGTGTACTCCTGGCTGAACTCACGCTGGATGAAAATGCAATGATTCATTGTTAGAATTGTGTAAAAAAAAAAATGTGTTTTGCCTATAATTCAGCATAAATATGTATTAAGTATTTCCAAAGATTTTAAATAATGTTTATATATCATCTGATAATTTCAAACAAGTGGTTGTTTTTGATTTGAAAATATTTAACAGGTTACATGAATCCAGATGATAGTCTGGCCTCAGGGAATCAGGAGGTTTAAGAAGTGCTACGTCTGTCCCCTATTGGAAGAGTTGTGACATTGCAGCTGCACTCATTTGCCATTACAGTTTAAGAGATAAAATGCTTGGCAAACATTGCAAAATAACCATTTCTACACCTCAGGTTGATGCAAAATCCCACATTTTCTGTTTTTGGTTCTGTTGTGCAGTGTCTTATCTGTGTCAAGAAACTGTAAATGTTGATTAGATTCATACCGTTTGTACTGACCCATCAAACCTCAGTTGCAGATTGAGCCAATCTGAACCAGTGTTTTCATGATGACGATGAATTTAAAATAAAGTACTCAACATTTGAAGTGGATAAAAAACTTTAATCTAAGTTATACATTCATTTTGAACAAAAACGTTCTTGTCTTTAACTTTTTTTATCCACTTCAAATGTTGACTACTGTAATTATTGGAGTTCGGGAAGTATGTGAACTGTGTAGCAGCAATTTAAGGACTTGTCCTTAGCAGACAGACCTAAACATTCTGCCAAAAGTTTATTACACCAGCCCTCACAGCAAAATGACGACAAGAGTATTCAGTCTATGCATACAAACAGAAAAGACTGTCTATGATTGATTTACAGAACCTAAAATTATAGCGGTCATGTAACATGCTTTGAATCAGCCATCAGGGAAGATCAGTGAACTTTTGTTTGTTCTGTCATTGGACGTCTTTGGCCTTTCATTTCTCCAAAACCAGCATATTTCGAATGTGCGAACAAGAACTAAAAAGCCCCTTGCTATGGTAAATAGCCTACATGTAAAGCGCTTGGGGTTTACACTGTGTTGGACTAGTCGTCAAACAGGGTTTGTTAGACCATCAGGAGCCAGGCACATCTGATATCAGCCGCAATCAGACATCTTTCTCTGAATCTGTAATAGTCCCCCGTGACTGTGCGAGACCCCAGTCCGTCACAGGACACGTTAGCGAAACACAAAAGAGATGCATTTTAAAAGAGTTATCTATTTTTGTACAAAGTGTAATTTTTTTCCTCTGTATCATTTTATCAGTTCTATGTTGTACACATTGTTGGTGTAAATATTCATTTTTAATTGGAGCCATGCCCTTAAACCTGGACTGAGGGAAAGTTTAACATGCTCCTGTTCTGTAGTTTTCGTGGTACCCTCACCTGAGAGCTGAGGATGGCTCCCTCGTTCTTTTTTACTAGACAAATTGAGGTTGTGTTGTGTATTGACCTGTTATAAAATGTCTGCTCAAAGGACTATTAAATTTCAGATTGTAAAAAAGGCTGATGTCATCTTCAGAAAACAGAATTATTTGACAGTCATAAATATAAAGGATGATATACAAGATAAGATATTTGGTGACAAAATATTTCGGCAACACTTTACAATAAGGCTCATTAGTTAATGTATTAACCAGCATGAACTAACCATGAACAATATATTTGTTCCTTTATTTGTTCATCTTTTTTTAAAGTTAATAAAATAAAGCTACACATTGTTCATGTTAGTTCACAGTGCATTAACTAATGTTAACAAGATTTTAATAAAGTATTAGTAAATGTTGAAAGAATAATAAATTCTGTATAAGTGCAGTTCATTATTAGTTTATGTTAACCAATGAATTTTATTGTGAAGAATTACCGGTGCAGAAGATTATACACTTTACGGAGATTAACCTACTGCTCAAATGAGAATAAAATAAAACTGAGACTTAGACGAATTAATACCTTAAAATTCAAGGCTGAAATGCTGGAAAATTATGTTAAGAAACAAATGAAGGTTCCAACAGACATTGCTAATTCACAATTGCAAAAAAGGCAAACATTTGGCAGCAAAAATGTACATCAAGAGATATTTTCTCATTTAACAAAACCGTTTATATATATATACACATTTTTGGTTTATCTACCAGAAGTACATATATCTTTACCCAAATAGAACTATAAAACAATAGAATTCATGATCTGATAGAAACCATTTGCACTTCTGTAATAAATTAAAAATGAACTGAAAACATTACAGTAGATTTTACAGTATATTAAGGGGAAAAAATCTTACTGATAAGTGAGATGTCACTATTCTAAGCAGATAGGACCTGCCCATCTCTCAGATAAGCCTGATGTGCTATCAAACCATTGTAAAAGACAGATACTAATTAAAGTCATCAATCTGAATCTTTCTACAAAAGCCTCTGAAGTATATTCTTTAACTTAACAATCACTCTTCCACAGTTTGATGGTCTTGTCGTTCTCCAGGGATGCTGATGCAATGATGTTTTCTGTAGGGTGACAAGCTGTCGAGATCACTACATCTAAGGACAAAAATACATCATATTTACAACCTCTTATGATAACAAAATGAAAGAGACTTCGGTGTCTAGGAGGACAATCAAATGTCATATACCTGTGTGCCCTTGTAATTTCTGCACAATTTCTTTGGTCTGCAAGTTCCAGATATACACCATATTGTCTTCAGAGCCTGAGACGATCCACTGAACAGAACCAAGACAGATTCAGGTTATTCAAAAAAAAAAAAAAAAACTTGCCCTTAGTAGGAACTGAACCAAAATAACTGTATAAATATGTAACTATACAATACTTTGACAAAGTTAAACAGAACCTACCTTTCCTCCAGTCACAGAAAAATTGGCAAACACGCAATACTTTTCATTCTTATGTCCAGAATATGTCTTGAGACACTAAAAAATATTAAAAGATACAACAGATCATTTAAAAGCATCAAACATTACCCACACAAATTGACTTAGCTAAATGTGGACATTCTATTGTTTTATATAGGCCTACAGCTAATTAGAAATACTATTACAATAATAATTTTTTAAAAAGCTATTCACTTTTAACTTATTTTTCCTTTTTTCAAATAAGGATGTCCCAAAAAGGAGGTCTTGCCAAATTTAATACTTTTTGGGGATCAGTTTATACCCAGAAATTATATAAGTAGGTGTAAACACATTCGTTTGACTATATTAGCGAGGACATCTCATAGACATCCACTGTTTATATATACAGTATATATAAGGTTAATGATATTTGTTATCACGTAGCCCTCAAACCGTATTCACTGTATAGCCCTTAATCCTGTAATTGTGAACAAATGTGGGCACAGAGGACACAGGTGTGATCCTAATTTTTATTTATTATAAATGTTATATCAATGTCTTCGATAAAGTTTTGTCTATCCATTTATGGTGTTTTTTATTTTATTTTGGGGGTATATTTGAATTTATTTACTTCAAAAAGTACCATATTTTCTATGTAAATTAATTCAATGTAAATTAATTACTATGTAGTTTTATTTTTTAATTTTTTTTAACTACATTAAAATATCATTCCAATAAGTTCTTAGAGCTAAAACCTAAAGATGAAGTGACTTTGCAGTCACCTGGTGTCTTATTTCGGTTTATTTTAGAATGCTCTAAAATTACAGTTTTTCCCATTCATTTCTACGGGTGCCCATGTTTTTTTCACCCACTTAACGTTGTAGAATTGAATAAAAAAATAAAATAATTGTGTGTGTTCAGGAGGCAAACTTAGGAAAAGTAGCCAAGTCTTGTACCGCTCAGATCAAGGGAAGTATTTTTTTAAAAATAAATCAAAAACTATTTTGCCAACATTTGTCCAGAATATGGTTTCAGTTCACCTAACTAAAGTTCTAACTAACTAAAACTAAGAAACCTGTGCAAAACACTAGACTTATATATAAATTGGACCTCACAAGTATAGTCAACCCTGTACACACATGCATATAAATTAGCATTATCAACATGTCATCAAATATACTTTCAAATATTAAAGTAGTAAAATTAATAGTATGTATAATATATACACTGTTAATTTGAATGCAATCAGTAGTAGAACAAAAATCATTATAGTTAAATTTCATACCTTTCCTTTGCTGTAGTCCCAGAGCTTTAAGGTACTGTAAGGAAAATGAAAGAATATTGTATCAATTTACCTATTTTTAACATGAAAGGCTGTAAAATATATATGTATATATTACACATACATATACATATATATATATACGTACAGCGTATCGGAAATGAACCATCAGCATTAACAAGTGTATGTGCGTCAAAAAATCGATGTGTATATTTCTAATTTATTAAACTGTATCATTAACTGCGTCAATATTAGCCCCTATGTTAGCTAACGTGATTGACTGATGTAACATTAAAGTTTGTAAAACAAATCTTGCTCAATTCTTCATCATTACTTAGTAACGACAGACAATCTGCATTAAGACACATTTTTTGGTAATAGGGGCACACAGCTGATTTGCATTAACTATTTCAATAAGATAGTAATAGCGTGAGTTAGCCAAAGACCTACACAATATAAAACACAAAACTACATACTTTGAACACCCAGTAGAATATACATTAATAATTAATCATACATGTAGGTTTGAGCAAGGTGAGGAGCAAGCTGATCCAAATAAAGTGGACACTGACCCATTTTCAAGAGCAAGCGTTTTTGCGAATCCCATGGGTCAAGTTGTTAGCGAACGGACAATGTAGACATAGGCGGGCATTATGCAAATGTGTTGTGACGCGTAGCTGTAACTGATTGGGATTCGAATTCCTGACGGATGATTTAAGGGGTTCAGAGTCGATTCTTTCTTTTGGGAGACAATAACTTTATTTTTCATACAATTTCGACTACAACTTTGCAGACCGTTTACATTTACAGACAGCTATATTACACACTGCATGAAAAAGAATATTCAAAAAAAACATTAAGGCCACTTTAACAAAAGAGACCTTATTGTATAGTTACCATAATATTGATACTATACATTTGTTACAACTGTTTGCAATTTTGACAGTTTTGCTGAATTAATTTGGTCTCAGAGACTCCATTGAATGGAATAAATAAAAGAGTGACCAGGAGGACGAGTTCACTTACTTGTCCAGTGTCGCAGCTAGAATGTATTTTCCATTTGGAGAAAACTTTACAAACGAGACAGGAGGGTTGTCATCATCTTGAAATGAAAAAAAGATCAGTTCTCTATCAACAGACTCTCTTTATTTGCATTTAGAGAGGCCACATTTATCCAAATTATGCACCACACAACATCCTGCAATCTGGCACCACAATTACACCGAACATCTAAAATAAAGTCCAGCTATAATTGGAAAACTTGATATCATGCTCACCAGCTTCATCAGCACATATGGTACATACTACAGAGAAAAGAGTCACATACCTATAAGAGTTCTCAGACATTGTCCCGAAGCAGTGTCCCACAATCGACTGAAATACAGTAAGTAACATGAATGGATAAATATTGACATCACGTCGGTCGTAAACATAAGAAAAGTGGCTTACTTGGAGGTGCTGCAAGTAAATGTTTACTATCACAGCTCTACATGACAGAGAATGTGCTATGCCACTGCCTTTTATGCGTTTGGATTTGTTGACATGCCTTTAGAGGGCAGGGTTTTGGACAGAGGTGGTATGTGGTTGAATAGATGGGGGTGTTCTTGAGTAAGTTACCCTAAGTAAGTTACACTGAAATGACTTTCAGCATTTTAAAAATGCCTCTGTTAGTCTATTTTAAAGGTTCCTAATTTTGTTGACTAATCCAATTATGGTTTGCTCATAATACAGTTTAATCTTTCTATACATTGCATATCACCTAATTTTACAAAGAGTCTGAAAACTGTTTGTTTGAGGATTCTGTCTCTCTAACCTCTCATTACTGCTAGCCTACTTTGCTCTGATTGGCTAGAAGGCCCAGTCTGTTGGTCTAAAGCTTAATGAAATGCCTATTACCATATATGAATTTCAGCTCTGGAGGCTTGATGGCGTCAGTTCTTTCATATCAATTCCAGCACAAGTTCGTATCCTTTTGAAGAGCAAGCAAAGTTGATTCGCAGCCCTAAAAACAGCGTCATCTCGACATGTGAACACCACAAACCAAACTCTTCCAGGCCTCGGCAACAACTACATTGTTTGAGGGAAGGTCAAAGTAGACGTTGTTTGCGGGAAGACAATGATGACCATAGGCTGGAATTTTGTTCATTTGTTACATCGTTACGTAGTTTTGTAACATGAAGAGAGACTGGAATAACTGATGACTCGATTCGGCAGTTCAGAATCGGTTCTTTCTTTTAGGAGACAACAACTTGTTTGTCGTGCACATTGATCTTTAAAACATTGCAGATGTTTTACATTCACAGATCTTTAGTGTCTTACATTCACAAACAGCTATATTACACACTGCATTTGAATAATATTCAAA